CGTCAACATCGTTTCAGCTAGATATCCAATAAATAAACATCTCGCGGTTAACCGTTCTTTTCTATATATTTTAATAATGATAATCTGTTCAGTTATATCAGATTATTTGATACTGGCTGGTTTTCCTCTGAGGTATAACAAGATTTCTGGAATGGAAGTTTCTGTCCTTATTAATAGATAAACTTGTTTATCCGTTTGCTTGCGGTTATGTGCACTTTTCAACATCTTCTGAAAATGGTATGTCAATTTATAAATGCTCTTTTCAATATATTTTAATAATGATAATGTAGTAAGTTATATATTATTATACTATAATAATGTTTCTGGTATGTGAGTTTCGTCCTCACCAATGGATAAACAGACGTTTGCTTGTCGTTAACTGCATTCTTTAAAATATTACAACAAAGAATATTATTTAAAAATTTATTGTTAATTTCTATTAGATTATGTGTGGTTGCCTGGAGCAGTTGTCCGGGATGGAAGCTTCTGTCTTTATCTGACATAAGGAACTCTTTATCTAGGAATATTCGACCCTTTATTCGAAATATAAAATGCTTTTTGTCTGACTAAAGATGAAATGCTCATGCTCATTGAATTATATAGATCCGTAATAACTTGAATGGAAGATATCTAAAATAATATTATCTTAATTGTGTGGGTATACATTGATGTATTATTGTAGAAAGTATCATGGGAATGTGAAAGATTACTATTTGCTGCATAGTTACTACATATGTCGTTAATTTTTTAAAAAAGTTTTAGAGCTAGAACCAATAAAATCTACAGACGTAATTAAGATTTATAATGATCCCTTTGAAATTATAATATCAATTAAAGTTTAGTACACTAAATCTTGTCAGGATTTAATATGATTTCGATAATATATACTAATGACATTATATATTATGATTATGATTTGTTATATATATAATGATATAATTCATTATATATATAATATATCATCATTCATTAATTAATTATATTAATTTTTTTTTGTATTCATAATAGTATATATACCAGAAGTATATATTTATTTTCTTCATATTATTGAAATAAAGGTGCTTTATGTTTCCATGCTTACAATTTACTCTTGGTTTGAAAAAAGACGATAACACGTATATGGGTAATTCATACAGTTGGGCCATTATAATTATATATATGATTGTCTCTCATATAATAATATGATATAAAGGTATGTTATACACATAACACAATTGTACATATATTATAACAATATTAACTGTATTTATAGATACAGTTTCTTGTACTTATGGATCACAGCAATACATTTAACCCTTTTGTTTTCGAGGTCACCAAATCCTTTATTTCCGCAGTTTGTTTTACTTAAGCGTTATTAGTGAAGTAATTAACAAAATATGTTCAGACAAAGGTACAAACTCACATACCACGAGAAGATTTCAAACATTTTCCAGGAAGAGAAAGAAAAGAATTTTAGTAGAAAACAAAAGATATTGCAGTTGAATAAATGTGTATATACAATGCAAATTTTTAAAGATGGTAAGATGGAAGATAGGTACGTGATAGAAAGAACGTAACAAAATAATTGAGCAGTAAATATGAACTGTGAACATTATAATATCGAGGTATAACATACTAAACCGGATATTCCGAATAACATATTTTAAATCCGTCACATAAAATGAGAGATAAGTTTTATTTGCTGTGAATATCTTATATATAATATAATATTTTTATCACCTTTACGATTGAAATTCATGTAACCATGATTGAGCTACATCGATTTAAAACTTTTAGGAGCAAAAAGTAATAAATTCCATTTAAAATATTAATTTCACGCTTATCATTAATGCTAAACTGAGTTTATCTATTGTTAAGAGATATGCTTGCTCTTGAACTATAGCCCTATAGATGGAAACAATAATAAACTGATGTACGACCTACAACCTACAAAAAAATTCAAAAACATAATTGTTTTCGTCCCAAATTTTTTTTCAAGACTGTATTGCTGGATAACCAAAAATTTCGGTTTGATAAAAAATATGGCTTATTTATGGACCATTCTATATATGTTTATCAAATCAATAAACTAACTTTAGAAAGTATTTCACAACAAAAATAGTGATCAATAAGGATTGAATACCATGTTTTCTTTGTCTCGTTTAGGCTGTTTACTCATTAAATCCACTAATGGGGATAATTTATTAACTTTTATATAAATCAGCTCATTATACATAAATCGACTGATTTAAGTCGAAAAATGTCCCACAAGGGAAATGACCAAAATTTAAAATGGTTGCTATATGCTACATATGTAAAATGTGAAGAAACAAGCCATTCCTCATATATAAACTAGCTTAAGCCAATGGTAACGCTCAAATCTTAATTTTGGTCATAATTAGTTTTAGCAGTTGAAACAATATATAAGAAAATAAAAAAAATTAAATATTTTAATGCTATTTTTTATGGTATTTAGACAATAAATCAATTCGAAGTCCTTTTTCATTAATTAGAAACCTCCTAAATGAACTACAAAATCGTAAAAAAAATTAAAAACTTAATTATGGAATTAATCGTACAATTATCACAGGTTTTTCCTTTATTGATTGCTTACATTTGTATATATTAAAATAAATGATATATTTACATAATTTAAAATGAAAAATAAACTAGAGCTTATATAAGTAAAACATGCTACATGCTTGGCACGAACAGTAAATTAGGTTATAAATTCGGTTACCACAAATTCAAAAACAATTGCCAACCTTCCAGCGATTTGCTAAATAATAAATGCAAAAATCCAATCCAGAAATTTCGCCACATCAGTATAGACGACATACTGATTGTCACTGCATCTGCCACTAGTTGCATTTCTACTCGCTCCCTCCACCGGTACCATAGCGGACACAGTACCACGCAACATCCACCTATCATTTTTGAAAATCATTAAACCCGCGCCCGAATCGCCGGTACACATTTTGGATTTATGTTTGCGCTGCAGTTCAGCCTTGTTTCCCATTGTTTGCGTGGCAATCGTTGGTGTGACTGCTGATACAAATCCCGCGCAGAATGTGCGATTGGATGATATATTCCGATATTTGTCATTAGCCTTAAAGCATGCCGCATTGGAAACAATTGGTGCGTCAACAACTCTCGGTACAGTGGATGAACTCGACGGAGCGGAAGTGGCATTTATATTAGCTAAGCCCCATCCGACAACGATGCCATGTTCGCCCTCAATGTACTGCTGCTTGGTTGAGCCCTTCCACAGGCAGGCCGGACGTATGAATGTATTAAAACTGAAATAGTGAAATGGTAAGTAATGGTAAAATAAATATGTTTGGCATTAAAAATTTCAATTATGAAATGAAATGCACTCAGAGAGCTCACAATTTGGATTGTGAGGATTGCATCACACGCACACACAGATACTTACCGTACTTCATGCTTCAGAATCAAAACCGCAATGTCAGCATCGTACGTATTTAGATGGCTATTGAAGTCAGGATGTATGAAGATATCATCGACTGGCGCTGCGAGGGAGCCTTCTTCGTTCCAGTTTTTCAAATTGTGTCTTCCCAAAAATACGAGTACCTCGTTTGCTGTGTAGCGTTTCTTAAACAACTGAAAGCAATGCGCTGAACTAATGACAACACGTTTGGATACCAACGTGCCACCGCACTGATAGGCGAGCGAAGTCAAATTGTTAACGTAAATTGCTGCCAACCAGGGCCAGGCACCGCGTGTGATCGAAGGCAACTCATCGTTGGCCATTGAACCATCTGCTGCAAATGTTGGCGCAAAATTCGCATCCTCAATATCGGATGTAATCAATGGCATAGTGGCGTCACCGCTGCCCTCCACTATTCTGGGTAGAAGCAGTCCCGCTGAGTTCAAATTTTCATTTCGATGTTGATTGCCGGGTGTCAAGCCAGCTTTCATCGCATGCAGAACTTGAAAACGTATGCGGTCGTCAATTCTGCCGCAGATGTCATTTGGCGTACGCACAGGATTGCTAATTGAGTTAAATTGTAAAAGGCAAAAGTGGAAAAACAAATTACTTAGTTAACTTATTAATTTCATCAAACAAAAAAAAGTTAATTAAGTTTTATTGATTTGTTAGGAACTTACATGTCGAGGGTTGGCAATGAGAAGTGTTTGGTGTCGAAACCCATACTTGCAGGCAACATTCCAGAGTCCTTGGTAGGAGTGGCTGCGGCACCTTCTGCTGTGGGCGTTGGCATCACAAAATCGGGCGGCAACTGCATTGTTATATCATCCGGTATAAATGCAAACTTCCTTGTGTGCTCCAATTGTATCTGTGTCACAAATATACCGTGATCTGGAAAGGATGAAAGAGCGATTGACGTTGGTGACGTTTGGTTTCAATTCATTGTTGTAGGATGTGCATTTGCGATAAAGTTGTTAGGTGTCAGAAATTTAATAGTAACAGTTACATACAGGTTGGTGTGATGTGATATGTAGAACAATGATAGATGCAGCAATGAGCATGAGATTGGAGAGGAAAAAGAGTTTCACGTTACATGAAATGAAAGCAGCAATGAAAATAAAAAATTAGTAAAATTTTGTTCGAGTTGTGGTGAGGAAAAAGGATTTCATGTTAAAAAGTATGCAAAAAATGTATTTTTCAAGCTGAATTTTTGAAATTTAACACGTACAGCAGGAAGTGGGACGTGCTTTTTGCAACGACTGACATAAAGTAAATAGAAATACGTTTTGTATATGTATGTCACCTCACCTGCAGCTCCTAAACAAACAATTTGATTGTTTGTGGTGATTTGCAACACTTTCGGAGGAAAATGATGTTTTGGAAACTTTACTTTATACATCACAGGCGAGTCACTAAGAAACTGACCGCGGGTCAATAGTTCAATTTCACCCAAATAATCCTGAAAAAAATATTTTATTAATTAAAAAAATTAATTTTATTAATTAATTTAATATGTTTTCCAACTTACTGTTGTGGGTTTTCCCCTCATTGAAAGTGTGACTCTTAGGTGCAGTGCTTGTCCAATATCTGGATTGCGTACCGATAATAAACCAAACCATTCAGCACCATCGAAACGATATTGGAATAATTTGGGACACGGACTCAGTGGTATGCCTTGTGTGAGTGCTCTATTGATATGCTCCAGAATTATAAAAAATATTGTCAATATGTGTAGCTTCATTTTTTCGTTTTGATATATGATTGTTTCAAACGATCCAAACAAATAGTTACACTTTTTTTTCTTCTAATAATAACAGTTCTATACTTTGTTTACTACACTTTATCACTCAGTATTCTATATATAGTTTTTGATTTTATTTTTTAATAAATTTACGACTTTTTTGTTGTTTTTTAAGTAAACAATTTGTTTCCATGCGGGCCGCTTGCATTTGTTCTTGACAATTTTGACAGTTGAGCGCGAAATATTAACTGAAATCAGTGCAGAACACTTGTCAGCTGCTAACCTGAGAAAAAACCTAGTTGAAGAGAAACATGTGAATGAATTTACGCTGGGATTTTCCCTCTCTTAAATACCGGTGCGCGCACAAATTCCACAAACAGGTGTGAATAGCGAGGAAAGCAGAATGATACAAATTTTTCAGAGAGAGTAGCTAATATCGTTTCCAGTCTTCGCTAAGCTGGAATTGTTGTTGGAAATGATCGATATTATTTGCCCTAGGTATAGGGTATTATTAGTGTTTTGTATTTATAATAGCGACAACTATTGTTCGCTTGGGCTTAGCGAAGTAATTAACCGTCTTTGTACCTTTTGTTTCAGAGTTCTGAACCGCAAGTACTTGAGAAATGGTATTATCGTGTAGGTAGTGGAAAGTTCATGAAAGGATTAGAATAATGGAAAACTAAGAAAAGTAGCATCGCTTTGCACCGCATTTATATTATTGTATATATTATTTCGCAAGTGTTTTACCTAAAATTTCTATAGAATTTTACCTTTGTCTGAAATTTAGTATGAATAGATGAGTTAAGTGGACGTAAGACTACTCGTAATAAAATATTTCATAAAATGTGTGAAGAATTTACTTAAATAGCTTACTTAGAATACTTTAGAATATTTGAAATGGAAGACATAGGTATATTAATATTGTGTATATGTACTTTTTTTTGGTGGTAAAATTTTGTAAATATGTGTTTTTAATGATGATATTTGGCAAAGATATTTGTAGTCGTCAAATAGATATGTTGCAAAATTTATCATATAAATGAAAATAGTATTCATTTACTCTAGAAAGAATTGGAAATATATTACAAATTACCAAAACCAGTTATCTTTTATGTGTAGTCATATTGTTAACCCTTGTTATGTGGTATGAGCTCGCAACCTCAAGAAGTAGTGTAAGCAGTATTCTTTATATAAGAACCTCACCTCAAACTGATAAAAGTATAATTTGCAGGTGAAAGTTATTTGGTTAGAATTATGTATAATTTTATTTTAGAAAAACGAAATTAGGTCTGTATAATTTTAGGAACCGACCTCCAGTAATGATTAGTGAATCTGAATTTAATGCAGTTGTGAACATATTTCTTGCTGTTAGTTTGCGCAAGTACTGAAAAAGAAATATTGTCAATATATGAAAGATTATGGTGTAGATATAGAAATTGTTTTGACTCGATACATTTTATTGTTTATATGAGTTATATCTATCATAAAGTAATATGTAATATTTTTAAAATTGGTGTTAAATAAAATAGCTAAATATGATTACAGTACTTTTTTATTTAAACTTGGTTTTACGTGTGCAGTGGATATAAATCGGTTTTGAATCTTAAGTTCTGTTTCTCCAGTTAATCAAACATTAACCAAATTTTATTCAAAATTCTGAAGTATATGTTTGATAAATCGGTACTTTATGTGTACTGTTTCATTCGATTAGCTCCTAAAATTGGATATTTACAGCTGGAGATATATTTTATGTGTCTGTACATTGTATTTGTTGTCTCTTTAATATTATCTTTCTCATTGATTTCTAATCAAGTTGATTTACATTACAGGGAACTTTCGTACAAATCAAATTAGTTAAGAATAAATTAAGTAATTTTATACCACAGTCAGTTGAGGTGGAGGGCGGACGACTTCTCCTCAATTAGCCAAAAAACCGTTTTGAATTCACAAAAACCTCATAATAGTGGGTAGTAGGTAGAAGGTCAAACTAGAACCAGTCAGAGGCATTAACAAAGGCAAGAATCAGTCTAACGCTAATGCTGGAGATATCGTCAAGTGAATTGAAGAAGGGGGCCCCTAAAAACTTATATCTAGTTCTGGCAAACCTGGATAAAGATACATCAGGTGTTTTGGTGTCATTTTGTTAAGAGCTGGTAGACACGCACTACAAGAGGTACCACAGGGTAGACCGAGTCTAGCTCCATGCCGTCCTGTGGTGAATGTTATACCATAACTGCGTTTAATTTTGACAAACCTAGCAGTACCGTCAACAAATCATACACTTTGTAAATCTTTATTTTTATTAGATATAAAAGAAAGTTAATAGGACAAGACTTACTTTAAATAGTGGTTAAATAGTGATTTATAAGCAATGTTAAGTACAAGTTATTGATTAATAAAAACACTTATGAGTACCATAATATGGAAAGTAAAGCTAATCCCTTTGATTTCCATGGAAAAAAAAAATTCCTGATAGTTTTATGATATATATACTTTAGTAGTTCATTATAAAATTAGTAAGATAATGATTAAAATAAGATTTATGAATTGTTGTTTTGAAAGCAAAAGTTTAATACTCTCAAGATACACATCTTTCAATAGTTATTTGTGAAGTGATAGTTCAAATACTTATCTGTATATGATTTTTAAAGAACAAGCATATATATAAATTATTTACTAATAATAAATTAAATATATATATGCATTTAATAAAGACATATATAATGGCCAATTCAAAAATTTGTTTGAACATTGAAATGTATTTAGAATCATAAAATTTTCAAACATTATTTTATATATTTTTATATAAATTTTATGAATATTTGATTACTGTTAAATTTTTGAACTTGTAAATAATAAATC